TATATATATATATATATATATATATATATATATATATATATATATATATATATATATATATATATCCATAAAAGTTAGAATATTTATAAATTTATAATTATCCATACTTTCACATATATTGATTATAAATATGAACTAATATTTAATATTTGTTATTTATAATTTAATAGTAAATGTGTAAGAATCTAAATTAAACATTTTTGATTTAATTATTTCACAAATTTATATCCTTAGATAAAAATATCAAAATACTTTATTATTTATTACAAAACAAAGGCGTAATAAAAACTTATAATAGGGATGATCCGAGTTAAGAATTCTTTCTCGAGACCAACCATGCAGATTACCCCAAACCATAGGGACCATTCGTGTAATTTACCCTAAATGAATCTTTAATGGCCCAGGAGAGAAATGACATAGTGACAACTATTAACATAATTCAATGACCAGTTGGTATATAGCGACTAAATAAAGTTGTTAGTGACCATATGTTAGTTCGTCATTAAAAAAATGGTCACTAAAACTAACCTTCATTTATAAATTTATATCCAACAATTAATAATCTTTGTCACTATTTATATAAAACAGTTTTAACTTTTTTGTTATTTAGATATTTACAATATAAAGACTTAACATGTACACATTCACCTATCATTCTAGCAGATAGAGGAAGCAACATTTATTCATTTATATAAATATTTTTTTAAGATACATTTTCTTTATCTAGACAATAATATATCCATACAAACGTTAATAAAAAGATAATATATAAGGCCATGACATAACGAACTTATACGTATAAAGTAATATTTTCACTCATGGATTCTATAATTAAGTCTTAGTAACAGGATTAAATGATTTATTTCAAATGATGGGCAACACACATTAGCCCAAGATTTATACATACTGGTACATATAGTCGTGCACACAATATACATAAATTGAGTACGTAATACATGTATGTGTTTTCATCTCAGAAGAGAGACCATTCTTTCTTAAGCATCGACTTAAGCTTTGAAATATGGTTTTGGGGCAATGTAATGCTGACTCTCATCCCATCAGACTGATCCTTTCGTGCTGGATAAACGAACACGACACCTTCATCTCCAACGTTATCAATAACACAATTTACATACACAGGCGTGTTTCCTCTTATATCTAGATCATAAAATGGGGCATCAAGTAAGTCAACAAAAGTCAAATTCGCTCCATATAATATAAAGTCTGCTAATCCACCATCCGATTCCATTGTTTCCTCAATACTTTTCCGCTCATCCACGCCTTGATTCATTAAGAGTAACCCAAGTTCCATTAGGCTAGATTCTTCGACAGATTCTTCTGTTTCTACCACCTTAATCGCTTGAGCTTTGTTGGTCATAACCCCTTCGAACGAATTTTGTGAGTCACGTTGACAAATTGTCACAGTATTCACTTTGGACCCTTGTTTAACCTTCGCTAAACATTGCCAAACCACAGAGCAAATTGACTCGAATGGTGGAATTGTTTGATGATCATTATCTCCACATATCTTTGATTGTAGACGGGTTAACTCGGGCCAAGAAAGATAGAAAGAATAATTTTCAATTTTCGTGTCATTTGTGGTGGCCCAGAGATCACCTACTGGGTCGACCCGTTTTATAGCAAGCGGATCCTTCATTGCGCTTTTGTATTTAGCGTCCTCATTATGTGAAGGAACCATAAGGAGTGGTTGTGCAGGATAAAGATCCCTAGTGGCATCGCCCCACATGTTCATAAAAATCGTAGCAGAAAAAACATCTCCAAGTACATGAGCCCAACTTACCCCAACTGATGTCGCGCCACATTTAAACATGGTTAACTGCATCGTTATGAACACTGTTAAATGCGTATCTATGTAATGGTGTTTTATATCTTTTTAGTTCATAGAACAAAATGGTTTCTATACGAATGTAATCTTATTTTATACGAATGGTTTCTATACTTGTCAAAAGTTTTATGTATAATATTTCACTTTTTAATCAATTTGTGCAACATTGTTGATTTGTTTCAATCATTTTACCAGTTTATGTAATAAACTTTATCTTTTTAGTTTTTACCAAAGTACACACTCATCACGAATTGTGTATCAATGTTTCAATTGGTTAAATAGGTTACGCAAACTGACTGTTGCATCTTTTGGTATTAAAATAAACATTCCATATTTCATATAGAGAATCATTTTTCTGTGTAAACTAGGAAAAAAAAGTGAAACGTTATTGCTATATGCACATTAAACCCCGGAAAAAAAAAAGATAATTACAACTTTTATGGTAATATATATATATATATATATATATATATATATATATATATATATATATATATATCGAATTTGTTTAGTTACATGTACATCGAGTTAATTACTTGGCTTTAAAAACTGCACGAAATTGGATATGATATTTTTGGATACCTATTATTGAAATACTACGTACCATTATATGAATACTACAAGTTATACGAAGCAAAATGGAGGAGAGAGCTAACGTTAAGACTGTTAAAAAAAATGTGTTAGAAGCACATTAGACGATACTGACGGTTGTTTTTTGAGCTTAGATCCATGATAAACTTCATCAACATAATCTAAAAGTTACTAAAGTTTGTGTTGCATTATGCATGTTATTTAATTAGGTTCGAGAAAACAATATCATATGCATATTAAACGAGTTGTTATATCAACTACAAGTGATTCTTGTTTCTGGACCTACTAGTATGATTGAGACACAAAAACTCTAAAAGATCATGAGGCAAACCTGCATAAAAACCGGTGGAGAAAAAGGCAAGTCGGGACCGAGTACAGGATTAGGAACAAGAAGTTTGTGTTTATCATCATCTACCGACTCGAGCCACTCATCCAGGGTCATGTTGCACCTAGCCTCGATCATCCGGGCTCCACAGTCATTGCACTTGATATATGGTCGACCTGAATCAGCCCTTCTTAAACGACCACAAGGGATATAAGCTTTGCTGTGCCACTTGAAGATGACCTCCTTAATAGCGACAATGGATAACCCTTCAAAAGCTGGGCTTCTGAAATAGTAAACGGCTCGTATGTAATGAAGCTTCATGGCTAAGTCCATGCCAGTTAGTTCTTGAACCGCATTTTGACCAGATATGTATCCTGGTCCAACCGTTGTGACCTTGATGTCGTAGAATGGGCTTTCGGCTTTTGAAAACACCATATTTGTATAATGTATTGTTTGAAAAGAAGTGAGGGAGAGAAGAGAAGTTTAGACGTGGAGTTTGATTGAATGGGTGGGTTGGCTATATATAGAACAAATGAAAGCTTCATGGTTAATAATTCAATGCATGAGATGGACATGATTCACGTTGTACATGTAGTTATATACCTCCAAAACTTTGTGTTTATATATACATGTGATACTTTTATTCACGTACACTAAAGACAATATTCATGCTTTATACTATTATAACCTGGTAAATGATCACGATTTGCAGTGAGAATTACTAAAGTTGCCGGGAAATTGTGATAACCGATAAATGAAAGTACAGTAAATTGATTTATATATCGCAGATATTTTACCACATCATTTTATTTTGGGTTAATATTTATCTGATCAATTTCGATTATATTTTCAGATATAAATATATCGCTTGATTTGATATATAAATGAAGGAAATTTCCTCTAATTGCCGTATAAAAAATTATGGATTTTGATCCATCTCACTAATTTCTTGTTATGACAACTACATGGCCAAATACAGGATGTGTATAGATTTTTTTTTTTGGAATGTTGGTGTTTTTCATTTGGTTTAATCATGTTTTTTGGTTATGTAATCCTATTATGGCTATATCTTTGTAATTTTTCTAGTGGTTGTTAATGTTATTTTGGCTGTTAAAAAAAACAGGTTTCACAAATTATTCGATTTGATTTGATTTCAACTGTTTTCCAGAAATTTTAAATTACCCATAATCAAACTGAATTAGGTTTGATTACGTTGAGGTGATTCTATAACCAAATTTAAAAGACAGCAATCTTCAAATTCACTTTAGAGAAGATGGGGCTGACCGGGACCACGTTCCACCAATAATTTCATTAGAGGTGATGACCGGTACCCCGTATCAATCGTTAGGATATATAGCATGCATGCACCTCTTTCTCAAGGGAACTTTCAGTAAATAATAAGATAATTCTTTTGTTCATCTTATTTATTTTATAAGTAACTGTTGAGACAACATAAATAGAAAATATTGTATTATTTTGAACGTAAGAGAGTACCACTTGCCGAAATTTGGTAACTAGGAGTTTGGTCTAGAATTTCTTTATTTCAAGGTTGTTAAGTATTATATATTTTAAGTCGACAGAAAAATAACATGTTACTATATACGTAGGTTAACCTTGTTTAATGGTGCCACCAAAGTATATTTTAAGTCGACAGAAAAAAGTTATGTTACTATACGTAGGTTAACCTTGTTGAATGGTGCCGCCAAGGTCGTCTTAACAACTGAGATTTTTTTAATAAAAGTACATGTGATATGTTCGATTGTTGCATTTAATGGTCCGGCCAAAGTCGCTTCAACAATTGATTATTTTGCAAAAAGAATTTTTTTTTCTTTTTCCATTTTTTTTTAGAGAAAAATTAAATATCTTTCTATATTTTCCTCCTACTTATATTTCTACATATGTTAAATGATACAAGTATCTTATTTCGATAAAATTAAATAATATTTGAAAACAATTGTTATTATTTCAAATGAGTAGAAAGACAAATAAGAAGAAAAGTTAAATGATTTAATTTCTCTTTTTTATGGAGACTCATCCATACAAAACATTTTTTATTTATCTTTACACAACAATTTATGTTCTAAGAATTTGTAATGTACAATCAAACAAGCCTAAATTGTTGTGTGAAGAAAAAAAATATTGTATACGAATCACTCCCCTTTCTTATAGGATGTGAAAGTTTGAAATTTTGAAATCTGTATGAAATCTGAAAATCGTGTTTGCATATAGATCCGCTCATTGTTGCTCAATTCGGTTTGTTTGCTACAAGACCATGATTTTGTAATTTGAAAAATCATATCTTTGAAGATTAAACGCTTCTATAGCCGCTAAAAAGATGCATATCTTTTATTGTATGTGAGAATTAATAGACTCCATATTTTCCATAAAGAGATATGAAGTATTGCACATAATAGATAATAATGTACACAAGGCCATGGGTCGAATACATGCGGAAACACTAATGGGGTCGAGAACCTCTACAAACATATAAAAATATATATCAACAAGTATGCTCTTGTAGTTCGAATAGGAGACTTTCGAATGGTCAAACTGTAATAGAATTCTTAAAAGATTAGGAAAGGTAATCCTTTCATAAAAAATATCAGCCACCTGGTATCGAGAAGAAAGATGGAGAAAACGAAGATGCCATATTGTAACTTTGTCTTAGAAAAAGTGTATATCAAACTCAATGAGTTTGGTATGTTGGTTTGACTAGGTTAGCCGACATGTAGATCGCATTATTGTTATCACAATAGACAAGAGTGGCAGAGCATAGTGACATGTGCGACTCTCAGAGAAGGTTTCACATCCAGGTGGTATTCACGAATGTATTGGCAACATCACGATTCTTTGATTTGATGTTAGACTGTTAAAGTATGTGATTTTGTTTTGATGACCATCATAAAAGATTGCCTCTAAGGAAAATGTAGCACTCAAATGTGGACTGTCGAGTCACTAGATTACCCTAATAGACGTCTTAGTAGGCCATGGGAGTCGTGGTCATAAAGGAATATCGCTGAAGAACATGATCGATGGTAATGTAGATGTAGTGTAGGGTACGCTTGAGAGCACGGAAGAATGGGTCTCGCAGTTCATGCATATAAAGACACACGTGTTGGACGCCAAAAAAGATGTTCAAGCTAATAAACGTTAGATATTGATGTGCCTTTGCAAGGTGATGATGTTGAGAAAGGTTGGATATAGGGTCATTAATGGTGTACTCAGGACGGTTATTAAAGAGAGGTGGATACCGTCCTGGCATGGACAGATCGAGAATCAATGAAAGCTATATTAAGTAGCCTAGATAAGGAAAAAATATCACATTGACCCGACTAACTTGAACCCGATCGATAAAAGGACAACAAAAACCTGTAAAAAAAAACCAAAGAGACAACCGTAAGGCACAATGTAAAAAAAGCAAGATGCAATGCATATCCCACATTTCAGGGAAGGAAAAGATCTTTGGCAATAAAATAACAAGTCGTATGAGGAACTGTAAGCTGCCTTTGTCTGGATATTATCAAATGACTGGATATAACCCTGTACCAACGGATAAGGGAAAGCCTATAAGAACCCGCTGATATCAAGAAGAAGGTAAGCTTTCATTGAACATTAAAACTTTGTGTAATTTTGGATAGACCTCATACAACATCTAACTTAGGCATCAGAGAGCAGTACCGGGGTCTAACCCTCGGTATGACTTTCTAACCTAGAAGTTGTTAATTCATGAAACATACCTTTTGGATTACTCGTTAGGAGGAGCCGGAAACTCCATCTCCGACATGTAGGCGAAAGAGGACGTAGCAACAATGGTGTCATCCGTATTTAATACCATCTAACAACACAATAATGAGAAATAACAGCCATACCAAGAATATACCGACCATATATAATAAAAATGAAATTGCGCCATACTTACACGGGATGTTCAATGCATGGAGGAACCGAAAGTCTAACATATAAGGCGATGAACCGATTTTAATACATGGCTATGTACAGGATATATGAATACATCGGATTTACTGCGATGGTGGAAGCTCCACAGAGATAATGTACACACATTACTACCTAAACTTACCTAAGGTAATGCAAAGGAGAATGAAAAAATCGGACGTGCGTTTGACAAGCTTTGCAGGCCATTCAGTATGGACCTTGGGAATTTTATCATTACCATTGACCTTATATGAGCATTTCATGAAGGCTGAAAATACTCAAACGTTAGATTTAACAATAACACAATCATCATCACCATACAACATAATATTTGGAAGAAGTGCAATGAAGAAATTTGAAATTATCGCATCTACAGTTCATTGTTTAATACGATTCCGAACAAATATGGGGTATGGGGCGATTTACAACAAGCCATTAAATGCATGTGTAGAGACATTAGTGGCCGAAAAGGTAATCAAATCATCCAGAGAAATTGAGTTCCTGTACGAAGGAACAATCAAAATTGTCACAAACGATCCCTAGCCTGACCAAGAAATACGAATAGACACAATGTTACCAAAAAAGGCTAAGAGAAGAGTTGACCAAACTGCTGAGAACATACACTGACGTGTTTGCATGGCAGCCAACCGACATGATCAGCATACCAGGGGAACTGATAGAACACAAGCTAAATGATAAGTCAAGCGCAAAACCAATTAGACAAAAAAAGGAGCCAATCGAAGGAAAGGAGCAAAGTAATAAATGATGAAGTGGATAAATTGGTAAAGCTAGGGATAGTACGTGAATCACTATTCCCGGATTGGGTGGCAAACCTTTTTTAGTAAAGAAAAAAGACGAGAAATGGAGAATGTGAGTCGACTTCACGGATTTAAACAAATCATGCCTAAAAGATTGTTACCCGTTACCGTCCATAGACGAGAAGATAGAGTCTTTGAATGGACACAAGTGGAAAAGCTTCCTGGACGCATATAAATGATATCACCAAATAAGCATGCATAAAGGGGACGAAAAAAAACTTATTTTAATACGGACAGAGGAACTTTTTGTTACACTAAAATGCCATTCAGGTTTAGAAATACAAGAGCGACATACCCAAGGTTCACAGAAAAGGTTTTTGAGCCACAAATTGGTATGAACTTGCAAGTATATGTGGACAACATGGTTATAAAAATTCGAACCATTGAGTTTTTCTTAAAGGACATAGAAGAAACCTTCGCAAGCTTGAGAGCTGATCACATAAAGCTGAACTATAACATCCTGACTGCCAGATATGAAATTTTAAGGATTTTTGTACATCACATAAGATCTACTCGACGAGTTGGAGGCCCCAACTCGTCGTGTCGAAACTAATAAAGCCGCATGGATTATGGAATCTACTCGACGAGTTGGATGACCCCACCTCGACGAGTTGAGGCTGTGGATGAAAACCCTAATTTTCAGTGTTTGCACCCTATTTAAAGGACCTTAAGTCCCCTCACCAGCCTCCCTTACCACCTTATCGTCCAGAGAGAAACCCTAGCTGTGCTTTATTACTTTCT